GCTGCTCCTTCCGTGATTCGAACTCCCCACACTGGGATTGCAAGCCCAGCCTTGCACTGTCTTTGCCATCTTGGATGTGCCCTGGGGCACTACAATTCAAGTCTTTATTTGACATATGCTCGCTTGATGCATTAAGAGGAGGGTCGAGTGACAAATTATTTTTGGACAAAGATTTTGTTCGATTCTAGAGTGTTCCATTACTTTGACACAGATCAAATATTTATTAAAACATAAGCATAGATGATGTTATTAATAAAAGCCGCAATTCGTTTATTCTTAAAAGCATATAATGACGTGAGAATTGGTTCAAAAATCAATATGATCAAGAAATCTCGTATCGATAAGCTTGAAGAGTATAAAACTCTTTGCTTCTTCCATGGAAAACACAATTCTTGAGCATATTTAGCTGATGCGGAAGCCTTATAGATGATGTTACTCAAAGCCTTGTGCACAGAACTTACAAGTTCCCGAGCTTCAGTAATTCCATTCTCCCTGCTCGTGAAAACGAATACATTTTTCGTTCGACTTTTCCAGGTAGAGATCTCGCCATCTCGACCTTCATCAAATGTAGATGAAAATCATCAAGGGCTTGTCTTAAATCAGACAAGAGATCAGGCATGTAGTCACAACAAAGAGAGACCCGAAAAGATAAAGGTCCATTGCTTGCATTCTCATCGAGTTTTTCGACTTTTATTTCATCAAAAATCTAATGGAATGTTTAAACCTTCGATGGCTTGTGTTGCATTTTTCTTCAACTATTTCACTTGGATAATAATTTCAGCCAATAACATGGATTTATCCATCTACCAAACGACAATTGGAAGAAAGATTAACCTTAAAAGTTACTCTAGAAAAGTAATTTTTGTTAGTAAAGAGAACAACTTTGACGTATGTTCGATAAAATATGTAACTTACTGATTATTCATGATACCTTTTCATTGCTCGGTACAAGACCACGAAGCGTGATCAAATGAGCATTAATGTCCTATCTCGTCCTCCTATCTAATTTGAACCCACTTAGCAATTGAAGTTACGAAACCTATGACAGATTAAATCAAACTCAAGAAAGCCAATAATCAACGTTTGAAAAGGTCAACCCAATAAATTATTGAACCAAAGAACCAAAACAATCGCCGACAATATCTTGACTCCGTAATCACAAAATTTATGAACCTTACTTAAATTTTCGAACGCCATAAGAATTTAATTATTGATAAGTTCGAAATTAATTCAATGAAGAACGAGTAAAAAGTAATATGTTTTGCAATAATATCTCTCAAATTGTATGTTTTTTACAATGAAAAGAATAATCCTATTTATATGGAATCCGTAAAATCTAGTTAAAAACCTAAAGATATCATAAAAGGAGTTTTAATTAAAATATAAGTCTATACGAAATTTGAAAAAATGAGTCCCAGTTTTGCACTATGTGGCCGCACAGGTTTATTGCATGTGGTCACATAAGCCAGTCTTCTGCCATCACTTTGGTCGCAGTATGGATGCATGTGGCAGCATGTTTAGGAATACTCTGCGGTCGCATAGTTAACTTTCGCAGCTCCATTATCCCTTGCTTGAACCAAGTTGATCAATCTTGTTCTTTCTTCCATACGTAATATGAAACTTGTTATTTTGCTTGTTGCGATCGATATTTCATCCATCGTAGTTTGAACAAGTAATCACGTGGCTTCTTTTGACCTTCTTTGCTCGTAAACTAATCATTGGTCCTTCTTCCACGATCAACAGATCTTTGTCCTAACTAACTCTTGTACCATGGTTCTACTCACTCTCGACCTCGCTATGGGTCTTCAAAGCCGCCATTGTTTTCGCCTCTGAAACTCCAGCTTTCTTCCCTTAAGTTTTCACTAACTTCCCCTTAGCCATAAACACGACTCTTTTATGGTTGACTTAGCTCTAATTGGCTTGAGTTTATTTATTTATTTTCATTGATTTGAGTACTGAGGAGGTTGGTCCAGATTAATCCCTTGTTTGGTCTGGATTAAAATCTAATTAAAATATCAAATCAAAGTCAACAATTAATTTTAACCACACATTTTATGGGACTCACAATTTTTTAACCACACATTCTATCAACTTTTATCAAACTCTACTAAAATTTTGATTTTAATATCTACTAAACATGGGCTAAATTTATCACAAATAAAAACTATCAGCAGAAAAAAAGGCCATATTCTTTATAATTGTACAATTTATCACTTGAATAGGGTGCAATTTAAGCAAATCTTTTATTATAATAAATTATGCCCCAATAGGAGTACTGCAAATCACCTAATACTACATGCAGACGTACATGTTGAAATTTAGGATGCCAATGGAGCGGGTAGGATCGGCACTACGCATCCCCGACAAGCTCCAGATTTTTAGGAGGCGGGGGTGGTGATTAAAATATGGGTAATTGGCGCAAAACGTTCCTACCTTTGCCTGTCTTTGTAGAAAATGTCCATACATTTCGTTTCTTGACGCAGAACATCCCTACCTTTCACTTTTTTTGCGCAAAACGTCATTTTCCCTAATTTTTAACTTAAAATGACCTATATACCCTCCAATTGAAATAAAACGAAGAAGGAAAAGGAAAAAAAAAATAAAGAATAAATTACAATTTACTCCTAAACTTTTTTTAAAATGTAAATCAGTCCAAAACTTATGAAAATATTAAAAATAACCAAAAAAAA